GGAGGCTCCTGGAGGCCTCCTGGGGCGTATTGGAGACTTCCTAGGTCGTCTGGAGGACATCTTTGACGGTCTGGACTGATCGGTCGGCGACTCTTGTAACTCTTGGACCATCTTGCGAACAAACGAGTCTGCAGAAGTGGTGCCGATTTCTGCCGACTTCTGCGGGCTTCTGCCGGCGTTCCGCCCGTGGCCAGGGCCAGATTTCGGGGGGGTCCCCCCGCTGACCCCGCTGGGTGATCGCCAAACCTTAAACACAACAGTCTCCAGCGTCGCACACCGGGTGGAGAAGAGGGCGCTGAGGCGAGATCTTGCGCGGGAAGCTGAAGCGCGAATGTCCGCGCGAAGCTTCAGCGCGAATGTCGCTCGAGTGGGGACAGAATGGCGGCACCCAAATCTCCAACGATATGTTTCCAACCCCGCCGTTTCTTCCTCGATCTCGGCCTCCAGAACCCGTCGTCGGGCCCCAGGGCCATCGAAAAAACGGATCCAGGGCGAGAAGCTGCCCCCAGGGCAGGGGTCGAGAGCTCGGATATTCCTCCTCCTCCTCCTCCTCCTCCTCCTCCTCCTCCTCCTGCTCCTCCTCCTCCTCCTCCTCCTCCTCCTCCTCCTCCTCCTCCTCCTCCTCCTCCTCCTCCTCCTCCTCTCCTCCTCCTCCTCCTCCTCCTCCTCCTCCTCCTCCTCCCTCCTCCTCCTCCTCCTCCTCCTCCCCCACTCCTCCTCCCCCCCCCTCCTCCTCCTCCTCCTCCTCCTCCTCCTCCTCCTCCTCCTCCTCCTCCTCCTCGCCCAGTGGAAACGTGCATTCCTGGGCGTTCCCAGGGATCCCCGGGAATGCCACCAGGCGGGACCGGGTGAGAGCACGGCCACGTGCACCCGAGCGTCTTTTTGTTACCGGAGGTCGTGGCCGCCTGGACCAGGCCGTGTGCACCTGAGTGTATTCCTTGTTCCAGGGATCGTGGCCGTCTGGACCCAAAAATTAGCCGGCATCGAGGCGAGAGCACGATGCACATCGTGCCCTCACCTCAATGCCGGCTAAATTTTGGGCTGACCTTCGACCACATTGTTGCCTAGTAGCAAAAGGCTACTGGGGAACCATGCGGTCGATTGTCTGGGCACTGGGCCCTCACAATAATCAGGACCCTGTGGCCCCCCACCGCCACCCAGGGCTCACACGGGGCGGACACAGTGGGCGGGACTCTTTCTGCCAGCTCATACCGCTCACGGTGCACACGGGAATTGCGAGCGGGAACTAAATGGGCAGGATCCTGTGGCCACCTGGGTCCGCCCATGGCACTCACGGAACTCTAGTGGCGTGACCTATCAGGCGGGGGCCCCGCGGCTATCCACGACGGTCCACGGCACAACATGGTGCCCATGTGTTGAACCCACTCCACGGGACCTGATGGCCATCCACCACACGAGTAAGATGAGCAGTTGAAGCTCTCTCTGGGGAAATTTATGACAGTGACGGTACAAGTGTTGGAGGGGATAACGACGACGATGATCCTGATCCACGAATCTTGCTGAATACGAGGGCGGGGGTGATGTAGCAGTGGTGATGAACTCCACCAACCCTCTTGTCGACTGGTGGCCTAGGACGCTTGGCGCTTCACCAGAGCTCTTTCTAAAGGCGTGCAGAACTTTCGCATTGGATTGCCAAACCCCCTGTCTCCCGTCCTTCCAGTACTTCTAATATTACGTCGTGCCCCAAGGGTCCCAACGTCGACGTGCCACACGGCTTCAGGGCACTATTTCCTCCGAGGCTCAAGACCCCGATGTGCAATGAAACACATGTGTATGTGAATGCACACACACATACCTACAATATAAAACCATCTCGCGTTGGCGCTTCGCGCGCGCTAGGGCCTAACGTACAGCGCTGAGCAGGAGCCGTGCCCGAATAGACTGGCATCGCGGGTTTCGATGCCAACGCGTTCGTTGCTGAAGGCGCACGTAGGGACTCGGATTAGGGTGAGGGGTGGCACAACTACATCACGCACATATCAGAGTGAGGGGGCCCGAACGGTCATTCACCGTCCCTGGGTGCTTAGCTGAGGTGGGGATCCACGGCGAAGATTATTGTTGTTGTTTTGTTGTTGTTTTGTTGCGTCGCCCCCCCCCCGCTCCGCGACCCGCCCGCGACCCACCCGCGACCCACCCGCGACCCACCCCGCGACCCACCCGCGACCCACCCGCGACCCACCCGCGACCCACCCCGCGCCCGCCCCCTCACTCTTACCCGTAATTGCGGGGTGCTACGTATTTCCCCCCGCTGTTGTTCCCCCCGCCCCCGCGCTCTCCACCAGCCCAGGGCAGGGGAGCAGAAGGGGAAGAGGGAAGAGGGAAGAAGAAGGACGGAGGAAGGGAATGGCGGACGAGGAGGAAGGGAGGAGGAGAAGGAGGAGGAGGAGGAGGAGGAGGAGGAGAAGGAGAAGGAACAACAGCAGCAACAGCAAGAAGAGGAAACGGAGAACGAGGAGGAGGAGGAGGAGGAGGAGGAGGAGGAGGAGGAGGAAGGTGAGGAGGAACCTGACGGAAAATGCAAAACGCTTAATTGATGGAACGCTGCACCCGCTTCGCAAATACACAACTAGCACCTAATATCGCGAGGTCGAAGGCTGTTCCAATCAGAATCGCATCGTAGCCGTTGTCATGCGCACCACATCAAATACGAATAGAGCGTCGAGTGTGCTTCAGGGGTCAGAACTTGCAGCCCGAACATGCCTTGCTGAAGCAATGCTTCAAATCCCACCAACCCTCTGCGCATGAGCGGTTTGGCGAGGCTCCTATTATATAGTCCCTCTTCCCCTTCGGGGGGGTACCCCCTACCCCTGGGTCTGAGGGGGGGGGGTGCGACCGATTGGAACGTCCAAGATGGTCCAGGATGGCTCCAAGAGGGCCTCAGGGAGCGCAAGATAGATTTCAAGATGGCTCAAGATCACGCAAGATCGCTCAAGATAACTCCCAACTTGCCCTAAGAAGCCCCAAGAGCGCCCAAGATCGCTCAGAATAGACACGGAGCACCTCCAAGAGAGCTACAAAAAGAGACCAACATCCGTCCAAAACGGTTGGAAAAACAATGTGGCTCGCCTTCTCGCTTGTTCCCTTCCGATGGCCCTCAGAGGCCAAGGCCCAACAGAGCTCCAAAAGCCGCCCAGCCGCCCAAGAGGGCCCCAAGATGGCCCCAAGAGGCCACCAAGAGGTCCCGAATAGAATCCCAAAAGACCCCGAGAGGCCCTTGGGGGCTCCCCGAGGCACCCAACCGACAAAAGGCCCCCAAGACGCCGCAAGAAAACTCCAAGAATCTCCCAAGAGACATCCGAAGAGACTCCGAGAGGCATCCAAGACACCTCTGGCCTTTCTGCTCGCCCTCCTCCTCCTCCTTCTCCTCCTCCTCCTCCTCCTCTTCCTCCTTCTCCTCCTCCTCCTCCTCCTCCTCATCCTCATTCTCATCCTCTTCCTCATCCGCCTATTCCTCCTTCTCTCCTTCCTCCCTCCTCCACCTCCCCCTCGCTGTCCTCCTCCTCCTCCTCCTCCTCCTCCTCCTGCTCCTCCTCCTCCTCCTCTTCTTCCTCCTCCTCCTACGACTCCTCCTTCATCCTCCCCACTTTAGGGTATGGCGGCTTCCCTGGCCCTTATTCCTCTGCATGCTCCTCCATATCCCCGATCAGGGCGACTCGCCTGGGCATCGTTTCTGGATGGGCTGGTGGGGTTACGCGAAGCTGTATTGAGTCGAGGCGGTCGCCTATGGGAAGAGCTACTTCGGAACAATAATCAACACACGTATGGTGTGGATACTCTCATGGAGTTGGATGCGTGAGATCCACACGATGGTATGCAGTGCGTACGTCTAGAGTCCACTGCGCACGTGGTATCAATTAGACGATGTCATTGTAACATTGGTGAGGGTGTGAACTGCAATCGTCGACCGTGGACCTGAAGAGGACGCAGTGACTTGCGTTCTGTGCGGAATAACATTTGGCGTTTCCCTAACAGCTTGTTTTTGATATTGTCATGAGGGCCCCTCCCGTCGGGTCTTCACATGGCATCTTGGCGCTCGGGGGTCCGCGCCGGGTCCTCGTCTGGCGCGTACTTGGCTCGAAGACGGTGCGTCCTGGGGCCAGACAGTGGTGCGTCCCAGCACCGTCCCAGATTATTGGCGGTGCGTGCCAGCTCAAGGATGGTGGTGCCTCTCGGGGGCCTTGACGCTGGTGCGTCCCAGGCCTGTCCAGCATGCTGGCTCGAGGATGGCGCGTCCTGGGGCCATGCAATGGTCATCCCTGGACCGTCTGAAGTGCATTCGGAGCGTGCCAGCTCGAGGATGGTGCGTTCTGGGGCCAGACAAAATGATGCGTCCCAAGACCGTCTCAGGTGCATTCCGTGTGTGCCGGCTCGCAGGGTCGGATGGGGGAGGATGAGGAGGAGGAGGAGGAGGAGGAGGAGGAGGAGGAGGAGGAGGAGGAGGGGGAGAGGGAGGAGGAGGAGGAGGAGGAGGACGAGGAGGGGGAGGAGGAGGAGGAGGAGGAGGAGGAGGAGGAGGAGGAGGAGGAGGAGGAGGAGGAGGAGGAGAATGGCGCTTCTTGGGCGCCAGACAACGCTGCGTCCCGGGACAGTCCCGGGGGTGCATTCCGAGCGTGCCGGCTCAAGGATGTGAAGGGGCCCTGGGACACACAAATAAATACATGCAACTAAAAAGATTCCCCATATGTTCCCATATTTTCTGGGTTTTTGTCTTCCCCCCCGCTTCCCATATTTTCCCATATTTTCCTGGGAATCGACGATTCATTGTGTCTGTGTGTCTTTTTCTCTCCCGAGGATGGTGCGCCGTCCTGGGGGCCAGACCGTGGCGCGCCCCAGGACAGTCCCAGATGCATTGAGCATGTGACAGCTCCAATGCTCGTGCATGCGTTGACCCTTCGGACCTCGTGGGCCTCCGACGTCGTGATCGTTCGGCGCGTGGGCCTCCCAAAACCTCGAAGCCATCCCTGTGACCCAGCTCTTGCCGCCAGTCATGTTTCCATTGGCCCGGCGCCAGAAGCATGCTTTCAGGGGCTCGAGCTTCAGAAAGACTGGCCCTCGTGAGGGGGAGAAAGGGAAGGTAGGAGGACGCCCGCTTTGGGGCCTATGTAGGGCCTTGGAAATTTCCGCTCTTTTGGAGCCTCCTGGACGGCCCTTGTCGGCACGGCTGGATTCCACGACCCTTGATTTCCGTGCATGGACTGAAGCACACGCTTAGCCTTCGCACTTGGAGGCTCAGAGAGTATCAACTCCACCTGACGTGCCTTCAGAAAAGAATATGGCTGGATGCGCCTGCAGAAGTCCTGCACTTGACCTGCAGCACAGATGCTCATAGAGCTGTATCCAGCAGGCTGAGTGTACACGTTAGTCCCCATCCCTCCCAGCACAATCTGTTTGAACGCCTGAAGGAATGTGCGGCTCTTCTGGGCGATGGTGACCCTGTAATAGTGGCGCCGCTGGTCCGGACTCGCCCAACATTCGAAGCACCCCTCAGCATCGCAAAAACCCGCTGCGTAAGCATACCTGTGCTCCCAAAGAGGGCAGAATGTCAAAAAGCGACGATGGTATTCACTAACAGAAACTGCTTCACATCTGAGAGCGCGCAGCGCTTCCTGTAAATCAAGCCTTGCTCGGCTTGTGGCATCGCCTACAGCAACCCCTCGCTTTCCTGGAAACAAATGCCTCCCAGACAACAGAAGATCGGCTTGAGGCCGCTTGATGTTCAAACCGCACTTAAGATTCTCCAGAGCAGGAAAAATCGCAGGTCCTGAAATTGTCCAGCCATACACTGGGCGATTGTTTGGATTTCGTTATGTGCTGACCCGTTCGCGTACGTAAAGCCGCCGTATATGCGCTGGAACTCATCGAGAACCGAAACTGACTCGTTCGACACACTTGCCGCAATGGACAGACACGGGGCAACGATATTGCGTTGCTTACTTAAGAAAGCGCTGCCATCACCATCGAAGTACCCACTCCTCCAATGCGGGAACAGAAATGATCCAGAAACACTGGCATGGAAACGGTAGGAATGACGGCAGCGCAAGAGGATCATACGTATTCAATTTCCTCCCGCCTTGAATAGTATAGCTTGAACCAGGCGGCTTGAGCCAAAATGGCTTGAGCCGAAGTCTTGCGCCAAAAATTGCCACAAATGACTCCTCTCGAAATTATGATCGGAAGGCGCTTGGAGGCAGGTCAAGGAAGCAAGCAAGAAAGGATCATAGGATCCAAGGGCCAGTGCACGTGGATCTTGAATAGCAAGTGAGCCAGCTTGAAATACAGGGGCTTCTTGAAGCTCTTAAGCGAGGAGGCAAGAGGAACGAAGCAGGAGGGGGAGGACGATAAGAGGAGGAGCAAGAGAGGCTCCAGGATGCAGGAAGGAGGAGGGAGGTGAGATGACAAACAAGGTGGAGGGAGGAGGGGGCACGAGGAAACTGGAGACAGGAAAAGTGAGAAGAGGCATGGTGGAGGGAGGAGGCGAAGGGAAGGCAGATGGAGGACGGGCAATGCAGAGTGACAGGGTGAGGGATGAGGGCCTATGGATCAAACAAAAGTACGACATCGGAAGTATGGCAAGTCTGTGTGCACCGTGCCACAGACATGTGGTCAGCTCTGCGCCCCCTGTCTGCGGGAGGAGCCTAGACGGCCAAAGCGGTGGAAACGCAAAACACGTGTGGCCGGTAGCACATGTAAAGCACACTCGACTGTGATTGAATTATGAGGCTCCTGGTGGGCGTATTTGGGCTGCATGTTCGGGGGATCTGCTTGGGCCTTCTGGGTGGCCTCCTGGGGATCGCTTGCGCCGTCCTGGGGCCCCCTTGCGCTGTCTTGGGGCCCTCCTGGGCCATGTGAGGCCCTTCGAGGCCATCTTTGGAGCTTTTCGGAGGCCGTCTTGGATCCCAGTCCTGGGGCCAGCTGGCGACTCTCATGGGGTCCTGTTGGGCCGTCTCGGGGCAATCTTGTGAGGCGCTTCGGCTTCGCTGGCTGCTCTGAAAACCGATAGAACATAGTGCGAAAACCCCTCAACAACATCAGGAGAATAAATGATATTTGTGCATGTGTGCCTCTCTGGGGCCTCTGGGTCTTGGGGGACTCTCTTGGACCGCTCTTGGGGTGTCTTCGGAGCTTCTGGGGCAATCTTGCAATCTTCCTGGCCCGTCTTTAGGTCTACTCGGGCTGTCTTCTGGGCATCTCGGGCCGTCTTCCGGGCATCTTGGGCCCTCTTGGGCTGCTTTGGGCACCTCTTGGGCATCTCCTGGGCAGTCTTGGGGCCAGCTGGGTACCCTCGCGGAACCATTTGGGACCTTCTGGGGCCAACCTTAGTAGCCTCTTGGGCCGTCGTGGACGCTCATGGGACAGAAAAAGCGACAATGCCGAAAAAACAAAAAAATGTCAGCCAGCGAGGACCCCAAACAATGACTTCCTACAATGTGTGCAGTGCCATCTACTTGGTGCTATCACTATGGTGCAATCTAGGTGGTGATGTGGCACAAAGCAATACAAAGCAGCGCAAAGAAAAGCAACGCAACGCAAAGCAATGCAAAACAATGCAAAGCAATGGACATCAACGGAATGTGATTACGAAGCATTGCAAAGCAATGCAAAGCAATGAAAAGCAACGCAATGAGATGCCATGCAAAGCAATGCAAAGCGATACAAAGCAATGGAAAGCAACGCAAAGCAACGCAAAACAATGAAAAGAAATGTAAAGCAATGGCAAAACAGTGCAATGCGAGTGCAAAGCAACGCAATGCGAGCGCAAGGCCATGTCAATCAATGCAAAGCAATGCAAGGCAAAGCAATGCAAAGCACGAGCCCTGCACAATCAAAATCGTGACCAAGGACGGCGGCGACGGGCGGCCACAAGCCGGCTGGACTGACACCCGGGCCCAATTCAATAGAAGCGGGGCACTTCATAAAAATCCGGTGCCTCGTGGGGAGCCCCCGTGGCGTCTCGGGAGCCTCTGGGGCTGTACTGTAGCCTTAGTGGGCGGTCTTTGGCCGTCTGGAGCCGCTCGAGGCTCCTTCGGGCCCTCTTGGGCCAGTGTGGCCCCCTCTGGGAGTCGTATTGGAGCGACGACCTGGGGCGCGCTCGGGGTCCTTCTTGGAGCCCTCTTGTGGGCAATTTTGGGCCACATGGGGGCGATGTCGGAAGCGTTTTGGGCCGTCGTGGACGCTCTGGAGACCAAAACTGCGAGCGTTAGAAAGCATTGCAAACTTATGGGAAATAAATACATCCCCAGGCCGAATTGTTTGCCTCTTGGACTAAAATATGAGAACAGCAACGGATCCAGTTGGATCCTTTTTCGGGTGTGGGAGAGTTTCGTGGATCCTATTTCTGTGTTGCGCGGATCCAATTTCCTGTGTAAAAAACGATGGATCCATTTATTTCCCGGGAATAAATATATAATAATAACTAACATCTGGGGCCCAGGAGAAATTGGATCCGCGGAGCAGCGCAAGTGAAGCATCATGCTACATCCCCAGTACCCACGAGGCTGAGGATCTGCAGACCAATGCTATGATTCTTCGGGGGAGGGGGTCTTCCCAGAATGAAGAGGGGAAGGATGAGGGAAAAAGGCAAGAGGAAGACATGCAGGGCTCAAGAGGAAAATCTTTCGGCCTGCGGAAGTGGGATTTCGAACTGCGTCTCCCCCGCCAACACGTGGCACTCTTTCGCTAATTTCTTGTGCGCTATTTCGTATGTTTCCGGCGTACGTATGGTGAGTGCGTTCTGTCACCGCCGCCCCTGCGTGGAAGTGCGAGAGGGATGCAAATCCTGCATCCCCAGGCCGAACGTTTTTCCTCTTGAACTAAAATATGAGAACAGCAACGGATCCAATTGGATCATTTTCTCGGGTGTGGGAGAGTATCGTGGATCCTATTTCTGTGCTGCGTGGATCCAATTTCCTGTGTGAAAAAACGATGGATCCATTTATTTCCCGGAATAAATATCTTTCGTATATTTCTGGCGTACGTATGGTGAGTGCGTTCTGTCACCGCCGCCCCTGCGTGGAAGTGCGAGAGGGGTGCAAAATCCTGCAGTGGGATCTCGAACTGCGTCTCCCCCGCCAACACGTGGCACTCTTTCGCAAATTTCTGGTGCACTCTTTCGTATATCTATGGCGTACGTATGGTGAGTGCGTTCTGTCACCGCCGCCCCTGCGCGGAAGTGCGAGAGGGGTGCAAAATCCTGCAGTGGGATTTCGAACTGCGTCTCCCCCGCCAACACGTGGCACTCTTTCGCAAATTTCTGGTGCACTCTTTCGTATATTTCTGGCGTACGTATGGTGAGTGCGTTCTGTCACCGCCGCCCCTGCGTGGAAGCGCGAAAGGGGTGCAAAATCCTGCAGTGGGATTTCGAACTGCGTCTCCCCCGCCAACACGTGGCACTCTTTCGCAAATATCTGCGCACTTTTTCGTATATTGCTGGCGTACGTATGGCGAGTGCGTTCTGTCACCGCCGCCCCTGCGTGGAAGTGCGAGAGGGGTGCAAAATCCTGCAGTGGGATTTCGAACTGCGTCTCCCCCGCCAACACGTGGCACTCTTTCGCAAATTTCTGGCGCACTCTTTCGTATATTTCTGGCGTACGTATGGTGAGTGCGTTCTGTCACCGCCGCCCCTGCGTGGAAGTGCGAGAGGGGTGCAAAATCCTGCATCCCCAGGCCGAAAGTTGTTTCCTCTTGGACTGAAATATGAGGACAGCAACGGATCCAATTGGATCCTTTTTCGGGTGTGGGAGAGTTTCGTGGGTCCTATTTCTGTGCTGCGCGGATCCAATTTCCTGTGTGAAAAAAAAAACGATGGATCCATTTATTTCCCGGGAGTAAATATCTTTCGTATATTTCTGGCGTACGTATGGTGAGTGCGTTCTGTCACCGCCGCCCCTGCGTGGAAGTGCGAGAGGGGTGCAAAATCCTGCATCCCCAGGCCGAACGTTCTTTCCTCTTAGACTAAAATAGAAGAACAGCAACGGATCCAATTGGATCCTTTTTCGGGTGTGGGAGAGTTTCGTGGATCCTATTTCTGTGTTGCGCGGATCCAATTTCCTGTGTGTGAAAAAAAAACGATGGATCCATTTATTTCCCGGGAATAATTATATAATGATAATTAACATCTGGGACCCAGGGGAAATTGGATCCGCAGAGCAGCGCAAGTGAAGCATCATGCTACATCCCCAGTACCCACGGAGCTGAGGATCTGCAGACCAATGCTATGATTCTTCGGGGGAGGGGGTCTTCCCAGAATGAAGAGGGTAAGGATGAGGGAAAAAGGTAAGAGGAAGACATGTGGGGCTCAAGAGGAAAACCTTTTGGCCTGCGGAAGTATGTCATGTCTGGTAGGGGCATGTTTGACACGTCCTTCGGGCGCCCGTGGTTCGCCTGGGGCAGCCGTGGCGCCGTGGTGGGCCAAGTCTGGTGGGCCTGCGGACATATTGTGGAGCACTGGGAGCGTCTTGGAGGCTCTCTTGAGACACCTAATTAAGGGAGCCCTTGGGCCATCTTGGAGGCGCAGGAGGCCGCCAGCGAAGCCGCCAGGGAGGAGGCCCAGTAATGCACAAGGGAGGCTGATGCGCGGTGTCATCACCATCGTCACCGTCATCATCATCATCATCATCATCATCATCATCATCATCATCATCATCACCACCACCACCATCATCATCATCATCGTAATCATCATCATGATCATGATCATCATCATCATCATCATCATCATCATCATCATCATCATCATCGGCATCATCATCATGATCATCATCACCATCATCATCATCATCAGCAGCAGCATCAGCATCATCATCATCCTCATCATCATCATGACCACCACCACCATCACCATCACAATCACAATCACCATCACCATTATCGTCGTCAGCATCATCATCAGCAGATTGAGCATCATCAGCATCATCATCATCATCACCATGGCCATGCCCATCACCATCACCATCACCATCACCATCACCAGCACCCTCGTCATCATCATCAGCATCATCAGCATCGCCACAATCGCCATCATAGCCATCGAGGCCACCATGACGGTCACCATCATCACCACCACCATCATCAGAATCATCATCAGAGTGAGAGGGCGAACGGTCTTACAACATCCCTGGGAGCGTTGACTGAAGTGAGCTTCTGCGGTGAGGCATCTTGT